AAAAAACGAGAGAGATAATTGGAGAAGGAGTAAGAGAGAGAGTGAGATAAAGATAGAAAAAGAGAGAGAGAGAGAGGTGACACAGAGCGAGAGATAGAGAGAGAGAGCAGGGGACAGACAGAGAGAGAGAGACAGAGAGAGACTATTCCGTCACCTGCATTCTGAGTAGATCAATATTAGTTTATCAGCACACCGAATATTCTGTATCCATGCGAGACACCTGTTTGTGTTCAAGCCGTCATTGTCTTTAGGACACTAGGCTAATGCGAGACACCTGTTTGTGTTCAAGCCGTCATTGTCTTTAGGACACTAGGCTAAATGAACATTTTCGAGAACCGAAGATATCATTATTAGTTTGCAGAAGTGGAGTGAAAATTTTTTTGTAAGACATGAAGCAGAATGGAGGCGAAAATACTCAATTAATAACGGATTTAATTGAGGATGATCGGGTCAGCGAGACAGGTCATGTAGGTAACCATGAAGCACTTCACAGAGTGGACATCTTGTATAAGGTCGACGAGATCCCGCCATGGCACCTGTGTTTGTTTCTGGGTTTCCAGGTAAGGAACGTGTGAACGTGTGTCAATGAATGTAGAGTCCTACGTGTAGCCGTGAAGTTATGTTGACACCTGTCATTCATCTGTTGAGTCATGCTTACAAATGATCTTCACACAAGTGTGTTCTTTAGAGCGTTGCAAGAAATATATACATTTTCTTTTAAGTTTGACATGAAATCCGATGTGACATGAAATCCAATGTGACATGACATCCAATCAGTGTTTCTTTCAGAAATTTTCCTCCGGGGGGGCATTTCAGATTTTCGGGGGAGGGGGCGGCACTTCAGATTTTTCGGTAGGGGGGGGGCAGTGCCAGCAGTTCCAGTTAATTTATTGTTGGACATATTTTTGCCCGGGGGGGCCGGGGGCTTTCCCGCCCCCCCCCCCCCCCCCCCGAGATATAGCTGAAAGAAACCCTGCATCCAATGTGCCATGACATCCAACGGGACTAGACATCCATTGTGACATCACATGCAGTGTGAAATGACATCCAATATGTGCTTAATTATGAAGATATTTCCTATTTTCAGCAATTTCTGACAGCCTTTGTATCGATATTTGGTTATTACGCCCTCATCAGTAAGGCGATCTGCATCGAGGGTGATGACGTAGGCCAAGGGGAGCTAATAAGCACATTGACTTTTGTTTCTGGGTTGTCTTCCATTCTCCAAGCTACGTTTGGGATAAGGTAATCGATACTGACATTGATTTCTATACTGACAATGATTTCTATACCGCCATTGATTTTTGTACTGACATTGATTTCTATACTGATTTTGATTTCTAGATTATTTCATCACACATGTTGGAAAAAAAATTGTGTGTGGGGGGGGGGGGGGGGGGGGGGGGGGGGGTGGAGTGGGGGTTCAATAAAGATTGATGTCGACTAAACTATATAAAAGTTCTCTATGCAATCCTGACGGCACCTGGTCACGTGATTTCAGTGGAGTATAGATATTTAATGATTTCATTGCTGCTACTAACATCCTGACATTACTGCCATATTTACAAGTTATATTGATCTTACATAGCCAGAGAGGGAGAGAGAGGAGGGGGACAGTGGAAGAGATAGTGACGGAGGGAGAAAGAAAGAGGGGTGTAAAGAAAGAGGGAGAAAGATGTGGGAGAGACAGGCAGAGTGGAAAGAGGGAGACAGAGAAAGAGAGAAAAGGAGGGAGATAGAGAGGGGAGAAATAGAGCGAAGAGAAGGAGGGAGATATAAACTGAGGGAAAGAGAGAGGAAAGATAAATAAGAGAAAGAGGAGAGAGGGACAGAAATGGGAGAGACGGGAGAGAGAAAAATAGATGAGGAAGGAGGGAGGAAAAAGGGAGATAGAGAGGGGAGAAAGAGACGAGAGAGAAAGGGAAGAGAGAAAGAGAGTAAGAGAGAGAGGAGAGTGAGAAAGATAATTGAGGAGAGAGGGAAGGAGAGAGGGATTGAGAGAGGGGGGACAGGGAAAGAGAGGGAGAAAAAAGGAGAGAGAGAGGGGAAGGGTGAGAAAGAGAGGTGAGGAAAAAGAGACGGAGAGGGAGGTTTAGAGAGAGGGAGAGAGAAGGGAAAAGAGAGTTAAGGAGAGAGGGTGAGGGAGAAAGAGAGGGGTAAATTAGAGGGGTCATATACAGTGAGAGAAATCTATCTTATCATTGTAATCCCTCATCTCCCACAGACTTCCCATCATACAGAGCGTCAGTTATTCCTTCGTTGTTCCGGTAACCGTGACGCTGTCCGTGAGTCCCAACAACTGTCCGTACACCGACCCTGCAGGTGAGTAGTGGGACCACTGACATCACACGGTGACCTAAGGCCCAGGATGAGATCTTCTCTTGAAGCAGAGAAACTCAATGTGCTATATATATTTTTATTTGACGTCATCCACAGTTAACCAGACGTCTTTGCCTCCAGCAGGATCTGATTACCACAGACATATTTGGAAATCAAACCTTTGTCAGGTAGGCTAGTCACCAATGTCAGGTATGATAGTCGCCAATGTTAGGTACGATAGTCACCAATGTCAGGTATTATAGTCACCAATGTCAGGTATGATAGTCACCAATGTCAGGCATGTTCGCGTATGATCACCAATGTCAGGTATTTGTAAAAATCATAGCGATAATACAAAAAGACCCCCTTAAATACACCGGGATAAATACACGGCTGTGGTTGCCATTGCACTTGAAACACAATTAATGTTTTAAAATCTGTTTTTGTTTCTTCACTGATTCAAGCCTCTGAAATTGAAAGAGCGATTTTGCTGCCTCATTTGACATAAGTCATAAACCCTAAATAACTTTAATTTCCTAAAGCGTAGTACATGGGAAACTTAACCTAAGCTTACTTTACTTTATAGTTCAACTAAAATTTCATTCCTAATTCCTCATTCCTCATTCCAGCTTCAAGGGTCACTTATGGTGGCTTCATTGCTACCCATAATCGTAGGATGCACCGGATTAATCAGTGCACTCTTGAGGTACATTGGACCCTTGACCATAGCTCCAACTATAAGTCTTATTGTCCTATCCTTGCTGGAGTCTGTCTCAGAGAAGGGCTCAACGAATTGGTACATATGTTTTATGTAAGTAACACAGTAATACATATGTTTATGTAAGTAACATAATAATACATATGTTTAATGTAAGTCACACATTAATATGTAGGATTTATGTAAGTAACATATAAGTATGTGTTTATGTAAGTAACACACCAATACATATGTTTTATATAAGTAACACACTAATACATATGTTTTATCTAAGGAACATAATAATAGATATGTTTTATGTAAGTCACATATGAATGCATATGATTTAAATTAGTGCATATTGATATATATGTTTTTATGTAAGGCACACACTAATAGATATGTTTATGTAAGTAAAATTAATGCATTTTTATGTATGTCACGCTTTAATGTTATGTGTTATGTAAGTGTTACATACTTACATCAGTATGGCGAAATTAATCTCTTATTTGAGTGTATGGCTCGTTCTAAAACTGTGCACATCTAAAGACGATACCATATGTTAAATAGAATAACAAAGATTACGATACTCAAAAAAGGACTAATTACCATTAATAAGTTTTATTCAGTTAATAATAATTAATGACAAAATAAAAAAGAAATTAAAACTATGGATTTAAAAATAATGATTGGCTTGAACTGGTACAATATTAAAGACAACGCAATGCGCTAAAGAGGGTACAATGATAAAAAAAAATCTACACACGCAGTAAACAAAGCTTTCCATCAAAAATAGCACACGTTTAAAATAACTCACGTTTGTCGTCTGCGTATTTGCCGTTCAATCCCTCGGCTTTATATAGCCTGTTTCCTTATATGCTTACGGAATCTTGAATACTCATTGTAATCGTCTCAAACCTTCTACAATATTTTACAAAATTCTAATAAAAAAGACAATGGATTATGGTTAGAAACCGAAGTCAAAGGGAGACCATAATTAGTAGGCCACGCCCCCACTAATTGGGGTCAGCTTACATTCATTCACCAGAGAAGATGAATGAAAGTAAAATGGGGCGCCTAGGTAACAGTTAGTCATGCATAAATAAAATTATGCTAGTCAACAACGCTTTTTAGCTTTAAAATGTTTACTATGCTGTAAGGCAATAGTATCATTTTTAAAAATCGGCTTAAGACTAACAAGATTTAATTACTATCAAATCATCAAAAAATAGGGTTTGTAAGAACGAAATAAACTATCATGAAATGATGAGTTCAATAGCGCGCTAAAAAAAAATTCCGATAACAGCGCTAAATGAGACTCTTAAAAACAAAATTACTGGAAATGCACTTGATGCGTAATATTTTCTTTTGTTTTACGGTATTGCTCTCAATTTATATGTGGTGTAATAAATCTGCGGTGTGGAAATAGGGGTGGGGGGTGGGACAAACGATTATTACTATAGTTAAAGGACGATGGCGTACCGGTTAGAAGGAAGAGGGGTGGGGGGGGGGGGTCAGCCCTCATTGGGAATCTTACAAGGGCCGTGTTTTGAATGCATCTCTTGTCAAGTAATGTTAGGAGATGGCAAGATGACGCCCCGTGGGCGCTGGGGGGGGGGGGGGGGGGGGGGGGGGGGGGGGGGGGGGGGGGGGGGGGGGTGGGGGGGGGTCAGCCCTCATTGTGAATCTTACAAGTGCCGTGTTTTGAATGCATATCTTGTCAAGTAATGTTAGGAGATGGCAAGATGACGCCTCGTGGGCGCCATTGTTTGGCACGGTATAGCTAGCAGAGAAACAAGAAGAAGAAAAGTAATGCTTTAAAAAAAAATATTCTCTTTATTTTGATTTTAAAAAGTTAAAACTCTGTAGGAATTTATTGATTCGTATTTATTTTAATGAGGTTAACTTTAAACAGTATCCAGTTTGAGATAATTACCTTTAACTAAACGATAAAATAGTAATTTCTTTGTCGTATTTCCCCAGGACAATTGTCCTAGTTGCGATATTTTCCCAGTATTTACAGAACATCGCCATTCCATTTCCTTGTATGAAGAGCAAGGTCAAGATCTTCGCTCTGTTTTCCGTAAGTTTGACATAAACAGATTTAACATCATTAATAGCTGTTACCAATTTGATTGAATATTATTGTTGTTATTTCAGTCAGAAGCGGACAATGTTGACGCAAGTTCCGTCAACCCATATTGCTTATATAATCATTGCCTGGCTTGTATGCGCTCTTACCTCAACAACATATTCCTTCAACAGGTCTTGCTTTATATAATCATTGCCTGTGCTGTCTGTGCAGTTATCCCAACAACATATTCCTTCAATAGGTCTTGCTTTATATAATCATTGTCTGGTCAGTCTGTGAAGTTATCCCAACAACATATTCCTTCAACAGGTCTTGCTTTATATAATCATTGCCTGGGCTGTCTGTGCAGTTATCCCAACAACATATTCCTTCAACAGGTCTTGCTTTATATAATCATTGCCTGGGCTGTCTGTGCAGTTATCCCAACAACATATTCCTTCAACAGGTCTTGCTTTATATAATCATTGCCTGGGCTGTCTGTGCAGTTATCTCAACAACATATTCCATCAACAGGTCTTGCTTTATATAATCATTGCCTGGGCTGTCTGTGCAGTTATCCCAACAACATATTCCTTCAACTGGTCTTGCTTTATATAATCATTGCCTGGGCTGTCTGTGCAGTTATCCCAACAACATATTCCTTCAACAGGTCTTGCTTTATATAATCATTGCCTGGGCTGTCTGTGCAGTTATCCCAACAATATATTCCTTCAACAGGTCTTGCTTTATATAATCATTGCCTGGGCTGTTTGTGCAGTTATCCCAACAACATATTCCTTCAACAGGTCTTGCTTTATATAATCATTGCCTGTGCTGTCTGTGCAGTTATCCCAACAACATATTCCTTCAACAGGTCTTTCTTTATATAATCATTGCCTGGGCTGTCTGTGCAGTTATCCAAACAACATATTCCTTCAACAGGTCTTGCTTTATATAATCATTGCCTGGGCTGTCTTCGCAGTTATCCCAATAACATATTCCTTCAACAGGTCTTGCTTTATATAATCATTGCCTGGGCTGTCTGTGCAGTTATCCCAACAACATATTCCTTCAACAGGTCTTGCTTTATATAATCATTGTCTGGCCTGTCTGTGCAGTTATCTCAACAACATATTCCATGAACAGGTTTTGCTTATATAATCATTGCCTGGGCTGTCTGTGCAGTTATCCCAACAACATATTCCTTCAACTGGTCTTGCTTTATATAATCATTGCCTGGGATGTCTGTGCAGTTATCCCAACAACATATTCCTTCAACAGGTCTTGCTTTATATAATCATTGCCTGGCCTGTCTGTGCAGTTATCCCAACAACATTTTCCTTCAACTGGTCTTGCTTTATATAATCATTGCCTGGGCTGTCTGTGCAGTTATCCCAACAACATATTCCTTCAACAGGTCTTGATTTATATAATCATTGTCTGGGCTGTCTGTGCAGTTATCCCAACCACATATTCCGTCAACAGGTCTTGCTTGCTATAAGCATCGCCTGGGCCGTCTGCGCCATTCTAACAACAACAAATGTGTTGCCACAGGAACCGGAGGTTGGATACAAGGCAAGAACAGACATACGTTTGGCCACTTTGTCGGACTCGCCGTGGTTCCGGTTCCCATATCCTGGTACACACATTCTGTTGACCTAGATAAACAAAAGTTAAGTTTGATGCAAACATTCCTCGCAACAATAGAATATACTTAAACATGATCTCTATCCTCTTTCCACATTCCCAACTATATACATGAGTTCTACATTCTCAAATCTCTAAATAAGCTCTATTTTCCTAAATCTCTACATGTGTTTTTCCTTCCCAACTGTCTACATTCCTAAATCTCTACACAAGTTCCACATTGCTAAAGGTCTACACTAATTTTTACATTCTCAACTATGTACATTAGGTCTACATTCCCAGCTATCTCCATTAGTTCTACTTTCCCAAATATTTACATTAGCTCTACATTCCCAAATCTCTACATTATATCTAGCTTCTCAACTCTTAACATAGGTTCCAAAATCCCAAATCTTTACATTGGTTCTACAATCCCAACTCCTTACATTGGTTCTACAATCCCAACTCCTTACATTGGTTCTACAATCCCAACTCCTTACATTGGTTCTACAATTCGAACTCTATACATAGGCTCCACTTTCCCATTCATTACTTTGGCTATACATTCCCGAATTATTTACATTTGTTCCATATTCCCAATTCTCTAGAGTGGCTCCACTTTCCCGATTCCCTACAAAGGTTCAACTTTCCCAACTTTCTACATCACCTGCTTTCACTCTTGTTTTTATAATTCGTGTATATATCTGTAAGAAAATAGTCTCCTGAGATCAAGATCATATAAACTGCTTGATTTAATAGATGTTTCTCATTGAGTTTTAGAAGGGAATTTTAAACAGTTGAGTTGTGGAATGTTTTATAAATATATATCTAGAAGCTGCAGAGAATGGATGCTGGTATGCGATATTGTCGTCTTTTTACAGGAAGTGGAATTAATTTTAACTTTTGAATAGCTTTGATTCTAAAATTAGTTTTAATGTACTCTTCACGGGGTCAGTGGGGTGTCCATCTCTTAGTCTGGCTGGAACGCTGGTCATGTCGGCAGCCAAGTTACTGGTCACATCTTCGTCCCCAGGTCAGTTGCGGTGTCCATCTCTTAGTCTGGCTGGAACGCTGGGCATGTCGGCAGCCATGTAACTGGTCACATCTTCTTCCCCAGGTCAGTGGGGTGTCCCATCAATTAGTCTGGCTGGAACGTTGGGCATGTCGGCAGCCATGTTGATAATAGTCATCGAGTCAGTTGGTAACTTCTACGCATGCGCTCGAATATCTGGTGCTCCGCCTCCTACAAAAGCTGCTATTAATAGAGGTCAGTATTTACATAATGAGCGTATTCTATAAGCCTGTAATTTGCCCATTGTTAGTTATGCATATTCATTTTTTAAATAAAACACATTTCTCCAGCATTATGAAACACATTTGGCCATAGACATTATTTTCTAATTTCTTTGAACAAAAAAACTACTCCTTGATCTATTATTATTTTTATGATTATTCTCATTTTTGGCATAATTATTCAATATATAATTTAATCAATGACACCCCAAGCAAGACTGTTCGCAGATGACACAGCGGTGTATAGGACGATCGCCAACAGATCTGACCAGTCCCAGCTACAACAGGATCTCAATCTGTTGGCTGAGTTGGAGATGAGCTGGGACATGGAATTTCACTCTGCCAAGTGCCAGACACTATCAGTCTCAAGAAGTTGTACTCCCCTAAACTACCAATAAGAATTGCACATCCATATACTTGAGCCAGTTTCCTCCGTGAAGTATCTGGGTGTTACCATTCAAAGAGAGGTCTGCAGGGAAGAGCACGTTAACAATGTATGTAACAAAGCAAACAAGACCCTGGGGTTCTTAAGGCGAAATCTAAAGATTGGCAACTCTTGTGTGAAAGAAAGAGCATATAAAGCCTTTGTCCATCCTGTTTTAGATTATGCATCTTCAGTCTGGGACCCATTTTTCCAAAAGAGCGTTGACAGGTTGGAGGCGATCCAGTAACGAGCAGCACGCTTTGTATAAACCGCTACAGGAATAGCTCTAGTGTTGGAAGCATGCTGGAAACACTAGGCTGTCACCATTGGAGGAATGATGACGACAATCCAGGCTCTCCATTATGTACAAGATAAATAATGGACTGGTCCACTGTTCCAGTATTAAAGAGAAACTCGTCCCTCTCCCCCATAGACAGCGACGAGGCCATGACAGGCAATTCAGGCTCATACCAGCAAGAAGCCAGTACAGGAGCTGCTCATTCCTGCCCAAGACAATCAGGGACTGGAACAAGCTTTCAAAAGGAACGGTTGAGGTGACAACACTAGACACATTTGTGTCTATTGCCGCAAGCCTTTAAACCCCTAGTGCATGATTTCGTCACAAAGTGGCACTGGAAATCAGTGAAATTTCCTCATCAACACCAGGAACAGAAACATTGCAAAGCCCATCTACATGCATAGGAGCCAAAATGATCAATAAATTTATCGTGGGCCCTAAAGATATAGAAGAAGAAGAAGAGCCCTCATCTGCTGAGGCTACCGTTACATATTTATAAATTGGTTACATAGTAATAGGGAAGATGCAAATATTGGTTTTAGTTTTACTTTAAAATGTAACAAGAAAAGTTCAAACTAATTATTTTTTTATCAGGTCTATTATTCTTGAGATAAATTGCATGTGCTCCATTTCAGGAGCGTCACTAAAGGGTTTGCGGGCCACACCGAGATGCGCCAAATAGAGAATTGCAAAGCTGAACTAAAATGTCCTTACAAATGGACAGTTGACTTACAGACAGACAGTTGGTGGATTCTATTACATGACTAAAATGTCCTTACAGGTGGACATTAGATGGATGCTCTATAACTTTGCTAAAATATCCTAACATCTGGTCTGCTAATGGATGCTATTTGACATGATGCATCCAGGCCATGCTAATATTGAAGTCTTCTAGCCCTTTCATTTCGGCCAAAGATCTTTACTTCACTGAGAGTCAAGTAGACAGAGCCGTCGCGGCGCGTAATTATGGAGCCCCCCCCCCCCCCCCCCCCCCCCTCCGTCCTGTCATTTGTCGTAATTATGGCCCATTATTCCAAATTACTATTTTCAGGACCATTGATAACTTGGCGCCCTGTATGAGTTGCAGGGGTCGCAGGAGTTGCAGGACCCACTTGTCAGTAATTGAAGAGGCAGACTTTTTCAAATTATTTGTTCTTAGGTCTTCCTCGTGCCTCAAGTTACTGACTCCGGCTGATTTTTCACAATTTCTCTTCAATTCATCTAGGTATTTTCATGGGAGGTTTCACAACCTTGCTAGCTGGAGCTTTGGGCGCCGTGGCTGGAACTACGCCCTACTGTGAAAATATTGGAGTAATTGGCATTACCAAGGTTTGCAACTGAACATTTACACAATATCACAATTAAATAATTATGTAAGCTTCTTGATAGGTAAATAACTGATTCTGAAAAAAAAAATAGCGATAGATATATTAATATTACTCATTAACAACTAAACTATATTATATGTTTCCCCATTCACGTAGGAAGTCGGATTGTTAAGTTAAATTATATGTATATGTATTCCCATATTTGATTTCAGGTAGGTAGTCGGATAGTCATTCAAGTGGCTGGAATTATCATGCTGATTCTCGGCTGTCTGGGCAAATTCGGTGCCCTGTTTGTTGCCCTGCCTGAGCCCATCATTGGAGGATTGTTTTACATAACCTTTGGTTAGTGGATGACGTCATTTCCTGTTAGATCAAGCAATATAAGGCAGTGGCACAGCCAGGGTTAGTGGGTGACATTATGTCCTGTTAGATCAAGCAATATAAGGCAGTGGCACAGCCAGGGTTAGTGGATGACATTATTTCCTGTTAGATCAAGCTATATAAGGCAGTGGTGCAGCCAGGGTTAGTGGATGAAATTATTTCCTGTTAGATCAAGCAATATAAGGCAGGGGCGCAGCTAGGGTTAGTGGATGACATTATTTCCTGTTAGATCAAGCAATATAAGGCAGTGGCGCAGCCAGGGTTAGTGGCGCCCGAGGTGGGTCAAAATAGTAGAAACCCTTTCTACGAAAAAAACCTCTGCAGTTGACCGAAAACGTCACCCGAACGTATTAAGAAAAAAGTCCACCCCCCCCCCCGGGGGCCCTACCTAAACAGTATTTCACTTCCTACGCAACCCACTGACATTATGTTATAATGTGACATATGTTATAATGTGACATATGTTATAATGTGACATTATTTTATAATTTGACATTTAAACCCTTTCCACGAAAAAACCCTCTGCAGTTGACCGAAAACGTCCCCCGAACGTATTAAAAAAAAAGTCCCCCCCCCCCCCCCCGGGGGCCCTACCTAAACAGTATTTCACTTCCTACGCAACTCACTGACATTATGTTATAATGTGACATATGTTATAATGTGACATATGTTATAATGTGACATTATGTTATAATGTGACATTATGTTATAATGTGACATTATGTTATAATGTGACATTATGTTATAATGTGACATTATGTTATAATGTGACATGTTATAATGTGACATTATGTTATAATGCGACATATGTTATAATGTGACATTATGTTATAATGTGACATATGTTATAATATTTATTCTCAAATAATGCAAAAATAAGTTAACTTCAACATTTTGACAATAAATTTGACAATAAATATCTGCTTAGTCGTCTCGAATTTCTTAGTTCGTTGATGAACGTGAACTTTCTTTCTTGCTCAATTGGTTTCATTTATTGAACGGCGGGTCAAGGTCAGACTTCTAGGTAGAAAAATTAGTTTCCAGTTGTCCATGATTGAAGTTTAAGAAATCGCACTTTTTGCACACCCACATATTACACACCACATGTTGAACACCCACATATTGAGCATCGCGTTAAGATATCACACAGGTGTTCATTAAATTTCAATATTCTTAAATTGATTGTTTAGACATTTGTACGGTAAGTGTTTCAACTCTGTATATTATAAAGGCTACGTTATGCATGTCATGTCATGTCATACTTTTGATATCCAACAGGCGTGGTAGCAGCTCTGGGCATCTCTACACTTCA